ACATCGTTACTTCATATCGAATCACAATGTCCATTTCTTTCTTTCTCTTTTCTTCAGAAAGGACATAGTCCTAACGGGCTTCCAAAACCTCGGATTACTCACACTAAATACATATAGATATAGCTCATGCATTTCAAACTCATGCAACAACTTTACTTATGCAAACTTATGCACATAACTTCTCAACTTCTCTTTTCTCACAAATTGGAAATCATTTATCATGCAACTTCTCAATGCAACTAGATAATGATTTTCCGAAATAGATATAAGTTTTTGAAAGAATACTTAGGCTTACATTAAGCCACTTATGCACTTAAAATCATGATATTCTCAAATATGAACTTTACTATAAGAAATGTTTCACTTTCATTTCACTGTGAACTCTCGAACAATACCAAATCATGCTTAAATCACATTACTTAACAATTCTTCTTAGCAAACACTTAGCAAGTATTGAACAGTAATCTAGCAATTCTTCTTACCAAATCACGTAATCATATTCACTGTAATCTAGCATTCAAGAAATCATGTTCTGTACACTTCTAAACATCTAATATTCTTGGCAAAATTCTCAAAAAGTCATAATAGACATTTAGGCATGCTTTTCTAGCATAACTTATCAAATATTGATCATACTTCTTAATCTAACAATCATATAATTGTCATGCTTCTCAAACAAATAGCCAAGACCAAATACTTCACATTTTCATTCAATATAAATGTTCCCAGACAACTTCTATAGCATAAAACATAACAAATTCTATTGCAAATTACTCATTTCTACTTTAATTTCAATGAAAATAAATTCTACTCGTGCGTCGTAACGATCCTGAGTGTCCGAGCCTCAAGGGCACTCGAGTCCCAGTCCGAAACGACACGTAGCTGAGCCACAAGGGCCCGGCCAGTGCACAACTATTGCCTAGCGGGGCTTGTGGCAGGGCTTGAGGAGCCCCGCCGCCTATATCCGCCAAGAGGCGACCTAGGGCCACGGCTCTTGCCATGAGCCGTGCCCTAAGGCCGTACCTCCACAGGGCTGGCCAATGGTCATTGCCTAGGGCCATTGGTTAGCTCCGTGACTCATCTGGTGCACACTGTCTTGTGCACTAGTGAGATTCTTCTTCACCTGTAATGCATTTCAGGCAATCAAACACTCCCAAATCCTCAACAGCACATCATAGATCAACAATAGATCACTTACTAGTTCAAACAAAACATATATCTAGCATTTCTAAGCATTTCAACTAATAAAAAAACTTCACAGAGTCTATAAAAGCTTTTAGGAGACCATGGGGTTATACCTTTGTAGTTTCCTCCTTTTTGATGGGATTCTACCTTCTTCCCAAGCTAGCTACACCCTCCTTCACCTTCTAAACATCTAAAACAAACCATACAACAACCTTAAGACTAAGTTCTGAGAGAGGTAGGATAGAAGGAATGCAGAGAAGAAACGGAAGGCTAAGATTGGATGAGAGTAGCTGTGAAACTTACTGTGCTTTCCTTTGGTTTTCTTGCAGAGCTTTTGGGGAAGACAAGGTTGGGAATCAAGAGGCAAGGGTCTGATATATTTCTAATTTATAGGGGCACTAAACCTTAGGATAACCCACAATGATTGGTGGAGGGCAAAAATGGCAAAAGTTTGGCTAAGAGGTGCATCAGACAAAGGTTTGGATGGTTGTGGTCTACCAAGCTTCATGGACCAAGTCTAGGATCATAGTTTAAAATAGTTTTTGGGGTCAAAATGCATTTTTCCAAAAATACTTTCTAGACAACCACTTAATTTAGGTTCCTCAGATTTCTCCCGATTTCACTCAGATTGACTTTTGGGATTAAAAACTTGGCACGTGATGTGCCCAAAAATTTAGGATTTTAGATTTAAAATAAGTCCCGGTGTTGAATTTATTTAAAAGTGGCTCAAAATAATTTATTCAAACACCGATTTTATCGCAAAAATTTTTATAGAGTGAAAAATGGCTATTTTGGAATTTCTTAAAACCGAATTTATAAAATAAAATTATGGGTTGTCACATCCTACCCTCCTTAAAAAGAGTTTTGTCCTCGAAATTGAGATAGACAAATAGAAACTTTTCGAATTTCAAGAATTAGTTCAAGAGTTTTTCTTGAATACTTTGGAAGTTTAGGAATCTCTGAGTTCCCAGTTACCTTAACTAAAACTGCACTCAAAACTAGTCATGCAAGTAAAACTACAATTGAACTTTAAAGCTTAACGGTTTACCTTGATCAAAGCCTCCTGAAGAACCACCTGGTGGCATGTAGCCGGGATCCCATCCGTAAGGGGTCCATCTTTGAACATTTTCAATCCCCATTCTTTCTTCCATTACTGCTGCTCTCTGATCAAAGTTGGCAAAACTATAGTTAACTTGAGCACTCAAATTGTTAAATCTCGTGTTGATCATCTCATACATCTCCTCGTAGGTATGTCTCCTCGACCCTCCTATGTAACCTTCTTGTGGCCCACTCTGAGGCGCTGTAACATTTATCCCTTCGTTTCCTATGCCCATCTCCTGATCTGTTCCCACCGCATTCCCTTCACCACTTCCTTCAGCTATGTGACACCCCGTAAATTCAAACACCAATCAAGGATTAATTAGAGAATTAATCCTAATCTCTTTGCTAATTTATTCCTAAAAATCCTGAAATTTAATAGTCGAGGGACTAGATTTTGACTAGTCACTTAAGTCAAAGGGTTGTACCTTATGCTTCTTGAGTTGTGCCCTTGTTCCCTTGTCTTTCCAACATTAGTAAGGGTAGTAATGTCTTTCCACCTAAAGATTGTGATTCAAGCTAACCTAGCCATACTCTCTCATTTCACTCACCTTTCAACCTAAAACACAAAAACCTCTAACCTCTCTCTAAAAAGAGTTAGCTTCTTCTCCAAGCTAGGATTTGAGCAACCAAGTCTTGCAAGTTTGTCTCCCAAGATTCCTACTTTCTTCATCTTGAGCATAGGGGAGGGTAAGATCCTTGGTATTTTGATGTTTTTAACCTCCTTTTAGGTGTCTTTTCCTAAAGATAGAATCTTTGTTGTCTTTTGTTTTGTGTATGAAGTTGGTGTGGAAGAGGAGCTTTAGGAAAGGCCTTCTAAGGGTGAAAAGAGGAAGTTATTAGGCTCCTAGGTAACCCATTCTTTACAAAACATATTTTCTTACTTATATGATGATTTCTTGGCTTCTACTTGTGATTCTTGTGTTAATTTGTGAGATTTGATGCATTGTCTTGCGGTGATGCATGTTTAGAGCTTGTTCTTAGGGTTCTCGAATGTCATTGCTTGGCTATTTATTGGGTTCAAGTCATATTGTTGTTGTGTGTGAGATTTTGGGTGTTTTGGACTTGAATTTGGACTTGTTGTTGAAAATCCCCGAAGGGATCATTTGGTGTACAGGGTGGTACCCGCGGGTGGAACGGCGGGCAGGGCCCTACCCACCGCCCCACCCGCGGGGAACAATGGCTTCGTGGGTTGGTACCCGCAGGTGGTTGTCCACCCGTGGCCCCACCCGCGGGGAACGTTGATGATTGTTGGCGGGTTGTTCCCCGTGATTCTTTCGACTCGGTATTGATGTTTTGACCTCCCGATGTTGTTTTATTGGGCTATTTGTGAGTCTTCTTGGTGTTTCGTATGTCTAGAACGGTATGTTAGGAATCCATGTAGGATTTGGTGTCTTGAATCGTGCTAAGGGACCAACCTTGTGATTCGTTGAGCTAATTGTGAGTCTTGAATGTTCTTTGGAACTACTTTTGGTTTACCCGTTTGATAAGCATGCTAGTTTGATGTTGAAATGCTAGTATGTGTGGTTTGTTCCTTCGTATTGAGATTGCCAACTTGTGTTGACAATCATTTGGTGTTGGATTGGAATCCTTTGTTGTTGAGTATGGTCTCATGTCTTTATTGTGATCTCTTGATTGATTCATATGATGTGAACGTATGTAATTTGTTATACCCTTTGTTGATACTTGATTAAGACAATTGTTGAGTCTTGGTCTTCTTGATAATGATGATGATCTTATATGACTATGATTGAGATTGGTGGTTTGTTACTTGAGCTTTGCTCACGAGATTGGCGGTTTTGTGATATGATAATGAATGGTACCCTCGTGTACTGAGAGATCGGTGGTTAATAGGAGTGTCGGCGGTGGGGGCGACGGTCCCCGGAGGCAAAAGGTTGGACTCAGAAGTATAGGGTGGCACTAGGAGGTAAAGGTTGGAACCGAAATAAGGTCGGGGGTAGCCATAAGGTTGGAACAGGGTATAAGGTTGGAACTATGATACTTGTGACATGTAGTTGTCACTTTGGCATGTAGTTGCAAATGTGGAATGTGAATTCTTTGCTTATGAGCATGTCTTGATGTATTCTACTTTGTGATCAGTAAAATTTGTTTGTCTTTCATGTTGTTGTCTTGTTGTTGTTGTGAGGATGGTGTTCCTCTTTCTTTCGAGAGTGTTTGATGAGTCTTTGAAGTTGACTTCTCTCTATGGTTTTGAAATGATATATACTGTATTCCGTTTCAAAATGGTTTTGATTATACTTATCTATATATGCTATTGAACGCGTATTGATGGGTTACCAGCATTTTTCGCTGAACGGGTGTCATTCCCGTGTTATGTTTTCCTTGTTCTACAGGTTTTGAGTAGAGGTTTGAGAGCGCTAGACGTGGATCAATAGATAGCTTAGCTACCTTGTCTGGACGTTATGTTTTGATGTCCTGTGAGCCTTTTTAGCGGTCTGTGTGCCTTGACATTTGATGGCTTGTTTGAATTGATAGTTTTTCCCGCTTGTGCACCTATGCTTGAGATAGGTGTGGCATAACATACCCTGATTGTATATAACTTCCGTTGCTTTATGTCTTGATGATTAGATGTTTGCTTGTGCATTTAAGTTTTAAAAATGTGGTAAAAATTTCGGGGGTGTTACAAGCTATGTTTCCTGCCTCAATACCAACACTAGCCCACTTCTTTCGTGGTACGCTCAGACTAACCAGAAGTGCTATCTTCTCATCCGATTGGTAATCATCTTGGCCATAATCCTATAAACCACATTACTTAATGCAATAGGCCTAAGATCAGACACCAGTTCTGGGGTTTCTTTCTTGGGGATCAAAACTACATCAGTATCATTCAAACCAGAGGGGAAGCAACGAGATTTTAAATAGACAATTACAAACGATGAGATACCCCCACCCCCCCCCCCACCCCATCCCAGAAGCGTTGGTAAAAACCCGGATTCATTCAATCCGGGCCAGGTGCATTATCAGGGAACATTACAAAGAGTGCAGATTTAACTTCTTCTAGAGTAAATGGATGCAACAAGGACTCATTATGTGCCCGAGTGACCCGCGGTGCAACACCATTAAAGAAATTATTCCCATCTATTGGGTTACTTAGAGCAAAAAATATTATCAAAATAATTCAATATAATTCCTTCCATAGATGCACCTTCCACCCAATCCCCATAATCATTCATAAGTCTATCAATAGTATTCTTCTTCTTACGATGAGAGGCATACCTGTGAAAAAAATTTGTGTTGGCATCGGCACTCTTTAGCCAGTGTTGTTTGGCTCTTTGTCTCCAGTAGGCATCATCCTGTGATTCAATACGATCCAATAGTTCCCCAAGGCGTTGGAATTCAGCCAGTGAGGCTGGGTCACTGTTTCCTTTCAAATGCAATTGCTCTTTCTGGAGGTTCATAAATTGCTCACCAAATTTATGGAAACAATCACCACCCCATCGCGATAGATGGTCGCCACAGTATCCAATGCAATCCTGCAAGCCTCGATCCCTTCCCTCCTCCCACGCCTTCTCCACCACACCTCTACACCCCTCATCATATAGCCACACCATCTCAAATCAAAAACTCATCCTACCGGATCCACCCCTCCTAAAGGAGTCATGGATTCCAAGAAAGAGGGCAGAGTGATCAGACGAACGGGTTATCGAATTAGTCACTTTGACTTTCGTTACAATCCCGCGCCAACTTTCCGTTGCCAACACCTTGTCCGATCTTTCTTCAATCCAGTTAGTCGTGCCTTGCCCTTTATCCCATGTAAACGGATAACCATCCATAGGCATCTGGGACAGCCCACAGTCCTTAATAACATCCCCAAAACCGCGAAGGAGGACATTCGAATGCGGATTTCCCACTCTCTTCTCATGTTGGTAGAGGAGGTCATTAAAATCACCAACCACCACCCACGGGAGATCAGATTTAGTCGCTAGTGATTTTAATAAATCCCAAGACTCATTGCGCATGTTGTGCTCCGGAAAGCCATAGTAACAAGTCATCCGCCAATTCAGGAAGCCAGACATATTAACCTCTATATCCACATGGTTCTTCGAGTACTTGAGTAGCCTTGCTGTATTATTTTTCCTCTGCAGTAGAGCCAGACCACCACTCAATCCTGCATTATCCACATAAAAAAGTCCATCAAAGCCAAGTTTAACACGAACGTTTTCAGCATGTATCCATCCCACCTTGGTTTCCATCAAGAAAATAAAGTCGGGTTTCTTACGGGACGCAAGGTCCACAACTTTGCGAACTGTCCGTGGATTACCCAAGCCACGGCAGTTCCAACTCAGCGTACTCATTAGGTCGGGCGGGCCTGGGAACCAGAGCCCGTCGATCGCAAGTTTTTTGAAACATTTGCCATTGCCACATCACTTCCCCCCGACCCTGGCCTCTTATTAGACCCCACTGTTTCACGCCTCTGTTTAGTCGCGGCAACCAGGACCCGATCTTCCTCTTGGTTTTGCCCAGCCAACTCCACCGTCCCATCACGCTGCTGTGCGGCAGCCTTCAAAGTGGTCGACGAAACTTTCCCGAACTGGCCGACTGGTATCAACCATGGTTCCCCAATTTCTCTCGGCCCTCGCCGTCCACCTACGCTGCGGAGGTCTGCCCCATAGGGATAGTGTTCTACAAGCATTAGAGAGTTATGGGCTTTGAGTCAAAATTTGTAGGCATGACCCAGAAGACCACAGAAAAAACAATACGTATGCAAACGCTCATACTTGAACGTTACCCAACAAGTGGTCCGATCCCTCTTCAGAAATTTCATACGGTGCTTTAGCGGTTTATCAACCGGGTTAACACATATCCAATAGAATGTGCGCCATGGCGCATCATCAAACCTGTCATCCCTTGCCAAGAAACCATCTAGAAAATTACCGACTTGCTCCTGAATTATTGACGAAGTGTACCCTAGCGGAAGATCATGGACTTGAACCCACATATCAATGGTGTCAAGAATCACATCACCCGGCAATTCACCCTCCTCAATCTGTTTACACACCAAAGAACTACCTTCGAAAGCCCATGGTCCTTCATTCAGTACAAGATCGATATCCGTTTTATGGAAGAACACAAACAGGAAAAGTTTCGGCTGTATTTCAGTTATCTGGACCCCCTTCACCGGCTGCCAAACCAAGGCAAGAACCTGCCTCATATACTCTATCTTGATCACTTTCGTTGTTAAGAAGCGGCCGACCATCGTATACCGTTCCTCAGCTTCGCCAACCTCATCGCTGGCGTCGACTAAGGGTTCGAAAGCCGCTGCTTCTTCTTTTTCCTCTAGCTACATCTATTTCCACTCTTATGGCTTTTCAAGTATACCTACCCTTATTTACTCATCCTCTTATAATTGCATCTTTGCGTAAGTTGTGTTTAGTGAGTATTTATTATCTGTCTAAGCATGAGAGTGAGTTGGGTTATATATTTGATTTAAATATACTTAAATATGTAAATATGTGACCTATCTATATCTATACTTGTGTTATACACTTTGATCCTACGTGTGTTGATATGTGTAAATATCAAAACTATTATTTTCCAAACCTATATCTATTTTACGGGGTTGAGTGAGTTATACTTAGCATTTTTATGCTAACCGGGTTCCTTTGTATGTTTTTACTTAACCCATTTCAGGTTTGTTTGGTAGATGCTGAGCACGCGTAGAGGAAGTTAGGAATCCTTAGTATTTTGTACCTAGCTCCTTGTGTTTAGTTTCCATTGTTATCTCTAGCTTGATGTTTAGACTATGGATATACTGTAGTATGCTATGTTTTGGTTAGCGCTTAGACACTTGGGCCTGTGTGCCTTGTTTTGCTTATTGATGAGCTATGACTCTAGTTTGCGGGTCTGTGAACCCTTATGTTTATTTTGAGGATTTGACTTAGTAGTTTAGCCTAGTAATCATCTCAGTATAGGTGGTTACGACGGTAGCATCCCCATACTATTAGTAATGAATTATCTATTTATCTATCTTTACTTTCTTTCATTTTGTTAAGTATTGATTTAACCTAAGCTCGGAAGTGTAAATTTGGGGGTGTTACACGCGGCCTATCAAGTGGAGGATGAGGCTTCTTAAACGTGACAAAACGACCTGCTGGGTTAACTTTAAGTATGAGAGGCTTCACATGTTTTGCTTCTTTAGCGGCATGTTGGCCACTCATACAAATTTTGTTTAAAAGCTAGGGATGCTACCATTCCTGTGAGCAATTCTCGTACAGTGCTGATCTTGGGGCGGGTGGCAGTAGGGGCCCTATGGCTGTGGGAGATCCATGGCTGATTCCGTTAGGCGGTAAGCCGAAGGGGGAGGTTGAGGCTGTTTCTTCCATAGGTTTGCAGGGTGGCGGCAGTGCATCGACTCCGGTCAATACACGGGAGGTTGAGGTGGCTGTCATTGCTGTTTCAAAGAGGCGAAGGGAGACGGCTGGAGGTAGTGGTCGTCAGCCAGGAAGGGGGGGAGTGACGTTGCGATGACTGATGCTTCAAAAAATATGTTCATGGCGGGTTCTGGTTCCTAGACCCGCCTGACCCAATGAGTACTCTCAGCTGGAACTGTTGTGGAATGGGCAATCCACGCACAGTTCGTGAAATTGTGGACCTAGTGTCCCGTAAGAAGCCCGATTTTGTATTTCTAATGGAAACCAAGGTGGGGCGTGTTGACTCAAGGAGTCATTGTCGAAATTGTGTGCAAAAAGGAATACCAATCCTAATAAAGAAAGTAAATAGGTAGAAGTTCTAATCCTTGATAGATTAAGATTATCAAGCTTTAGTCACAAAAGAGTAGGGAGTAGGTATTATAAATAGCAGCAACTCTCCATCGCAAAGACTCATGCATTCAACATTAATCTTGTGAGGTCTGAGAGTCATTGAGAAGAGTTACTAAATTCCCCTAGAAAGTTGTACATGTGTTTAGGTTACAATAATACGATATGAAAGATCATTCTATTGTGTAATCTCTGGTTCTAAACAATATACTTTTAATATTGTGATTTTAGTGGATTTAGGCAAATTCTCAAATTGAGAAATGCCTTGCAGATTAGGGTTCTTACACGAATTACGTCACAAATTGTCTGTGTTACAACTTCAGTTTCAACATCCATGTGTTATAGATTTGCAAATTTCAATTGGTATCAGAGCCAAACTGCTTAAGTTATTAGCAAGATCATGATGGAATTTCCCAGAGAAGGACTTTCAAACAACTGACCGACCACCTGCTTTAGTTGGAACTAATTACTCTTACTAGAAAGCTAGGATGAAAATATATAGGGAGAAGTGTCAAATAGGCCCATCTACTATGGCCAAGTGCTCAATTCACCCCACGAACTAAAATAAACGCTAATTAGCCACACTTACCAAGTAAATTTGTGCGATTGGCTTTTTTAGTAGGTTGATAACCGGTTGTCTTTCCTCTGAGCTGATGTGGAAAATAAATAAATAATATTATTAATGTTATTTTATGACATGGATTATATTTACTAATACCCTACCGGTCGTTCGTTTCCTCATCCTCATTTCGCGCATTCTTCCATCTTCAACAGAGCTAGGGTTCGTCAACAGAGAGCTCTCTATTTTCCAGGTCTTCAACAGAGGTGCGTTTCTTCAACAGAGCTAGGGTTCGACAAGCTTCAAGTGTATAATGTCAACATCTTCGGCTTCTTCTAGCGTGCGAAATAACTTGGAGTATGAGCCGCCTATGTACTGTAGGTGTGGATTGAAGGCTCCAATCTGCACAAGTCGAGATTCTGGGAAGAAATTTTATGGATGTCAAAGGTGGAAGGTGAGTTTAGATCTTGGGCGAGGTTTTTTCGTTTTTGATTCAAGATTAAATTCGATTTTGATTTTGATTTTGAGAATTTTTTTTTTTAAATTGGTTCAGGAGGATGTTGGGTGCGGTTTTTTTTGTTTGGAAAGAAACTGAAAACGCATGTGGAATGGAGGAATTGAAGAAATTGGTTGCAAGCATGAAGGCTGAGTTGATGAGTGAAATAGTAGTTGTACGTGTAATGATAGAGAGTGAATTGCAGCGGAGGAAATTGAAGGAGAAGACATCTGTAAAGAGAAAGTGGATTTTGATTTGTATATTAATTGTGTTAGTTGTAGTTAAAATTATGTTTTAGTGTGAATTTGTAGACAATTAAGATGTTTTTGTAATGAATCTTGTTGGAGGTAAATCTGCTACTGTTATTGTTAATCTTCACTGCCAATGTTCACTGGTTTATGTAAAGTGCATTCTGAAGATTGGAGACTTTGGGTGGTCAGTAGAATCGAGAAGCAAGAGACATACAATGTGTGGAACGTTGGACTACTTGGCACCAGAAATGGTGGAGAACAAAGCTCATGATTATGCAGTTGATAACTGGACTCTAGTTGCATGCATTTATTATATTGTTCTCTGTAATAATATATAATGTTAATGTTGACTTTAATTTGCCAGCTTCTGGTGAAGGACTCTTCAAAAAGGCTGTCTCTTGAAAAGATCATGGATCATCCTTGGATAATAAAGAATGCAAATCCCATTGGAGCATGCTGGAAGAATTGACTTCCAATTTACTTCTCA